CTTGTTGGGATAGGGCTAGATATGTGGGTGTGTGTGTGTTTACTCTGCACCGTGATGTTGCAGAGTAATGCAGAAGTGATATAACAAGCAGTGTAACTGATTGAAGTAAATGAGTGAAGAAATGCATTGTTTTTTAAAAGGGAAAGCATGTAATATGTTATGTATTCATAGTTCACTTATTTTAGGTAAGAACCGTACTGGGACAAGTCCCTGATGAATTGATGATTCATTCATCTGCCACTTCTTGGAAGTATCATGAAGTATCAAGCTTTTTCTTTTTTTAATCCCACATTAAACACTGTTGTCACTGTCCTTAACCACAAAGCACATATACCACGTTCTGCCATAGTCCAGACACCTTCAAGAAACGAGTCAGCAAGAACACGTTCTTCGTGCTGGTTCGTGTGGTAGATGAGCTGTGGTGAGTAGTTATTGTTCCCCGTTGTCCTTCTTTTGTTACCTTTTAACTGCTTTATTGAGCTGACAGATTTCTTTCGTCCCTTCTGTGTCTTCCAGCCTGGTAGAGCTGACCGAGGACATTTTGAAACAGCTCATGGACCTGGTGTTCACACTAGTGTGTAATGGCGAACTCAGTCTCGCCCGTGTGCTCCGCAAGAATATCCTGGATAAGGTGGAGCAAAAGAAGCTGCTGCGTTACACTAACTCACTCAAGCCCCTCGCGGCACGAGGGGTCTCTGCAAGGTACTGTGGGAGTTTTAAGTCAAGTCTTTTTGAGACGTGCATGGGGATGGGTATGATGGAAAAATGCAGTGCTTCTCTTATGGCTCTGTACCTTTAAGGATAACAAGCAGGGCTGGATTCAGTGCCTGGCAGACTTGCAATCAGAAACCACAAGACTGCAGTCATAGAATCTTAAACCAATTTAATGATTCCCAGATGATATCATGGCTGCAGTTAAACATTTGGGGAGTAAAGCATTGTGCACTGAGATGTATCTTAATATCAGATTCCATTTTAACTTCATTAAGCAGCTATTTTATCGACACAGGGTGCTGTATTAAAATAATTTCTCTGTACTAATTAATAATCAGTCGACCAGTTTGAGGTAATATAAGAAATAGCTTAGTAATTCTGATGAAAGTGAAGATGATCAGACAGTCCAGGTAAATGAATTCTAATGAGCAGTGGAAGGTGGAAGCACTGACAGTTTGGCACAGGATAGGTGGACAGTGACAGCGCTAACAGGAGTGAAGCCAGGCCGGGACGATCAAGGACACAAATAAAAATCAGAAAGCGGTGCACAGTTTTTCTGTGGTTTCTGGATTAAACAACATGTCCCTCAAGTGGTGTGAAAGATTGTGCAATGGCTTGTTTTCTCTCATTTGGTAGCTGTATCAAAAGGGTTACCCAATCAGCAGCTATGTGTGCACTATGTATCAATCCGCTATATTAAAAAGGCCGAGTTAGTGGCTCAGCTGTGTGCCACAACAGTGCACCACAGTTTCCATTTAAATTGTTTTGTAAAGTGTTTTGGAATGAATTGAACCATAGCCTGTATATAAATGATGGACATAGCCGCAGTGAGGTCACCCATTGATTCTGGACTCTGCAGTAACACTGAGGCAAAGTTGAACCCAGGAACCCTGCAACAGTCTTCAGTTCAGTTTTATTTTATTCATACAGCACCTGAAGGTGCTTTATATTGTAAGGTACAGACCCTACAATAATACAGGGAAAGTCACAACAATCAGGTGACCCCCTATGAGCAAGAACTTGGTGACAATAGGAAGGAAAAACTCCCTTTAAACAGGAAGAAACCTCCAGCAGAAACAGACTCAGGTTCAGGGAGGGCTGCCATTATGCCACTCATCCACACGACGTATAGCAGCACCCACTACATCCATCTTTTATGCTAGAACTACAGTTTTGGCGGTTCTGCTTTGTGTGTGTTGTATATTTGCCACCCTGTCACCTGTCAATCATTGGTATCCTGCGATCTAATTGGCAGCCATTTCAACTATCCCCCTTGAAGTTGAGGAAAGTTTCATTTGGTACCCACCCACTACACATGACACGTAGTGTTTTTTTGCCTGTGGGCATGTGAATGTCATTGACTTTCTTTTGTCTCTGCTAGTCACTTCCTGTGGGGATGTGCCTTGACATATAGCAATTGCCATAAATGCAGTTTCTTCCAGTTAAAAGGGAGTTTTTCCTTCCCGCTGTCACCAAGAGTTTGGTGGTTGTCTGATTGTTGGGTCTTTACCTTACAGCATAAAGCACCTCGAGATGACCGTTGTTGTGTTTGTAAGGCTTTTTTGCTCTTCGGGACAGATGGGAAAGTAGGAGGTTGTGTCGCTTCAGTTTCAGACTCCATCTAATGATTTGTGTGTTTTTCATCAGGCCTGGAACTCTTCACGACTTTCGCAGTCACGAGATCGCCGATCAGCTCACACTTCTCGACGCTGAACTTTTTTATAAAATTGAGGTACGGTGCCTTCGTTGCTGCGTTAAATCTTTCACCGATCTGCCGATCATTTGTGCTTTGACACATAATCAATCCCAACTTTGTGCTCTGCTCTCCTCTGTGTTTTCCTTCAGATTCCCGAAGTTCTGCTTTGGGCCAAGGAGCAGAATGAGGAGAAGAGTCCGAACCTGACTCAGTTCACAGAGCACTTTAACAACATGAGCTATTGGTATGACAAAAAAAACTAAACACAAACCTCATCAGACACTGTAACGCTTAACTCAACATCTCCTCCCCTATAATTAAATTCTGTGGCTTTCCTCTCATACCATCTCGCCTCAATAAACGCCGACACCCCACCGTGTCTCTCTCTGTCTCCTTGCAGGGTTCGCTCTTTGATAATTCAGCAAGAGAAAGCTCAAGACAGAGAAAAGCTGCTTCTCAAGTTCATTAAGATAATGAAGGTTGGTTTAAGTCTTACAAACCGTACAAATCACCAGGAGTTTCCCTGTTTAACAGCATTTAACAGTCATATTTATTTTTATTACAGCACTTAAGAAAGTTGAATAACTTCAACTCCTACTTGGCAATACTGTCTGCTTTGGACTCGGCCCCCATCAGGAGGTTGGAGTGGCAGAAGCAGACCTCAGAGGTGAGACGATTGCGAATTTAGGAAGAGAAATTAAAAATCTCCTCGGGTATCACAGCTGTTATTTAATTTAATAAACATCCCCAAATCTTCTCCCTCAGGGATTGGAGGAGTATTGCACGCTGATCGACAGCTCCTCCTCCTTCAGGGCATACAGAGCTGCACTGGCTGAAGTGGAGCCCCCGTGCATCCCGTACTTGTGAGTAAATGCGCATGACTCATCGAGATGGGCGTCTAGCCACGACTGGTTCATTTATTCCTTCCACTCTTCTCCACAGGGGTCTCATCCTCCAGGACCTGACCTTCGTCCACCTGGGGAACCCTGACCTGATCGACGGGAAGGTCAATTTCTCCAAACGCTGGCAGCAGTTCAACATTCTGGACAGTATGCGGCGCTTCCAACAAGTGTAGGTCCATCGGAATAAGTAGGATTTAATAAGAAGCCACTGAACACATCAATCGCAGCAATAAATGTCATCATCGTTTGCCACTGGAAGGAACGCTAATGTGTTCCTGCTTTGTTCTCCATTAAATTTTAATGTCATAAAACATGGCTGTCATCTTCACACAGACTGCTTTGCTTTCTCAGTAATGAATTACCTCTCCTCATCTCAGGCATTATGAGCTGAAGCGCAACGAAGACATCGTCTCGTTCTTCAACGACTTCAGCGATCACCTGGCCGAGGAGGCCCTCTGGGAGCTGTCGCTGAAGATAAAACCCAGAAACATCTCGAGACGCAAGACGGACCGCGAGGAGAAGACCTAGGGCCCGCGGAGGGGAGGAGGGCCTCCAACACTGACCTCCAACTGTGCTTCATGACACTAACTCCACTTTACTACAGACTGAAAGAGAGACGAACAGAAGCTACCCGCAGAGGCTGATGGGAGACTCATTGTGGGTGGGGGGAGGGGGTTGAGAACAAACTACAGACAACTGAAGCGTCATCGAGGTTTACAAAGAGCTCTACTGCTCGGGGAGATTATAATTGGGATTATTGGAGACATTCTGTGGCTGCGGCGAGACAACAGGTAGACCGGTGCCAAGGAGGGGAAGAATCGCAGGGAGACACTACGGAAATGACCAAAGTCTGCTCCCTGGGCTTTCTGTTTTAGAGTGGAGCTGCTGCGCGAGTGTGTGCGCGCGCGCGCATGTGAGTGTGTGAGCTGAATGGTCCATTACTCTCAAGCCGCTCCTTCCTCTTCCTCATGTATGTGCCATCTATTGGTTTTCTTCAGCCCTCTCCCTACTCGAGTTCCCCTCAAACGGCAGCCTGACACAAACTGTGACATCTACGAGCGGGCCGCAGACCCCCGAGGGCTCGCTGTGGGCACGAGGCTGGGAGGTGGGAGATTTGGACTTAGAGGAGAGGATGGCCATGATAGACTGGAAACCTATGTTTTGCAACATTTTTGTGTAAGAATCATGTATGGTTATGAAATGTATTATATACAGTGCTCCTTTTGTTCTTAAAAAGGATGTTTATGCTTATGAGAAGAGCTCCACTTCTCCCAAGTGCCATACACGTGCACTTGAAAGAAAAAAAAAAAAGATAAGCAAAGCAAAAACACAAAAAGATAAATAACTAAAGATGCTGTGATCTGTGTACATCATTCTGAATCATCGAGTGCCGTGTTCAAGTGTAGAGAAACCATCAGGCAATCACAGTCACGTCCCGGTCATGTTAGTGTGTGAAAGACTGTGTGTGACTGAAGTCCTCTGTGACTTGTGTGTGTGTGTCATTCCAAAAATGTGCTGTAGTAAAATCATTTTTTTTATTCCTTTTTGGGGATAAAACCAACACTTCACACTGTGCTCTCAAACTCCAATAAAGCAAACGGCTCTTTCTATACACACTGTGTTGGTCACAAGATCCACCACCCCCATTCCACCCCACCCTCCTTTTCTCAAATCGACTGACACTTGAATAAAGTTTAACAGTTTCCGTTTATTGTCGTACACAAATAACGAGTGGAAGTAAACAAATTAAGGCATAGATCCATTATTAAATAATTAAGGATGTGCTCGATATGAAACTGGGTGCAACACATCTGGCTCTGACTTGATTTAAAAGAGAAACGTACAAGACATCTGCATTATCATTTCAATATATTAATCTGAAAGCAATAAAGAAGCATGACTTAGTTTAACAGTAGGGTCACTCCAAGTGCAAAAGCATGACTATAGGTCAGCATCTACTGTACAGAAACACTTCCTACCCTCAATTATAAGACCTCCAGTCTCAGACACAGGTCACATGACTGGACTTAACACTGAAAAAAAAACAAAAGACAAATTAAAGCATCATGGAAGACTGCTTGTTTAAAAACAAAAAACATATTCAAGAGTCTGGTAATGCACCAATAACTGCAGTTAAATGGGAAAGACATTGCAGCACTAAATCCCTGCAACATGTGATTATGGGTAATATTTTAAAATAATGCAGAGCGTGTCCAACACACTTCACATTTAGAAAAAAAAAAAATTAAATACAATCTGTAGCAGCGATTAAAGCTCAAAGCCAATCGATTCAAATCTATACAGTCTCAGTGAGGCCGACTGCTGGGCTCCAGGAGGACCCTCTTTCCTGGGGCGTTAGCGGATCCGTTCTGTAGGTCACCTTGCTCAGACAGGACCCGTTTAAGAGCACGTGCTTGGCCGTTCACGGATCCACGCTGCCATTTGCAGATTTCGCCGTTTAAAATATCTTGGATGTGCTGCACAATGAGGTTAATGGCCACTGATGGAAATCAGAAAAAAACGAGTTGGGGGTTTTTCTGTTTTTTTGACTCTACAGAGAGCAAGAAAATGCTGAAATGTATTCATTTTCTTAAGGAAAAAGCACTCACCCATATTGTCGACTCCTCTTGGAATGATGACATCTGCATACTTCTTAGTCTGGGAAGAACAAAATGTCTTTAGAAACAGATGTAATGTGTGTCTGCTTAACAGAATAAGATGCTGAACAAATAAGCGCATATTCGGGGCTGACCACCACACTTACAGGCAAACAAAACTCTTCAAAAGCTGGCTTCACAAATGTTGTATACTGACTGAGAATCTGCTCGAGATCTCTCCCTCTGCTCATGTCTCGCAGAACTACAGGAGGAGAAAAAAAAAAGTAGGATATGAAGTAATATCAACTGTAAAAATGTGACGCAGCATATAAAGATTAGACCAAAAACTGAATCCCAAAGACAAGTGATGATGCCATCAAGAACAACTGGACTTTCCCATATTTGTGTTCTCTTCATTTCACTGTCTGTAATATCTATTAATATTACTATGGTACAAAATTTGTGAGTCATCCTCAGTTTCTTTATATTTTGCTAGAAAAAAAATAGGAAATGGGAACAGTAATTTATTCAAACTTGCATGGAAATACCCATATATAAAGAAAAATTGAGTTCTAGTGATTTGGAATATTAGTTCTGATGAACACAGGTCTCGCTCTTGTCGTTTCTGTAAGTAGCCTGCAGGAATAGTGCTCCAGGCTTCTTTGGGTGTTGGCTGCCTTTTGTTCTGCTCTCTGTCAGGAGGATCCCACAATGCTTCAGTAATGTCCAGATCAGGACACTGGGGAGGCCAATCCATGACCTATAATGTTCCATTGTATGATTGTTTTTTAATCCATCTGTGTTTTTGCTGCATTAATAGTTTGTTTGAGATCATCGTCATGATAAAAACTCAAGCTGCTTTATATCACACATTTTCCAGATGGTTCTGTATGTTCGATCAACTTCTGACTGCAACTTTCTGTGTTCATAATTCCTTCAATTTTGACAAGATCCCCAAAGCCACTGGTCGAAATGCAGCCTTAAACCATGACAGAGCCTCAGCTGTGATGAGCAGATGACTAAACGCTCTCCTGACCTCCTCTGTATATAGACAGCCATCTAAACCTAAAATTTAGAAATTCAGATTCATCACGCCTTAAGACCTGTTGCCACTGATTTACAGTGTAGTTTTTCTGTTATTTGGTATACCTCAGCCTTTTCTTCCTGTTTCCCCTCCTTAACAACGGCTTCTTGACAGCCACCCTTCCACTGAGACCATTTCTGATGAAGCTTCAGTGACAGATCTATTGAAGGGCCAGATCCTGTGTCTGGCTTTTCGCCCCATTTCTTTAGGACATGACTTTCAAATACTGTTCACTGCACCACAGCAAGATATGCCAGCTTTTCAGCTAATTGATTCTGATGTAAGGGTTGAATGCTCAGCCAAATACACATTTGGGCCTGACCTGGCCAGTCAGCCAACAAAATGAGCCCCCTTAGTTCTGCTGGCAAGTTTTCTATTTTTGGCCTCTGATGATAAAGCTTTTTATGGATTAGATCATCGTATTGTTACCAAACCACAATAATCCCAACAAATAGCACAGTTTGACATCTTAAACTTAGAAATTAATAGAAAATCAACAAAGACTGGTAAATGAAAGGTTTTTTGTTCATGTTATTTTGAAAGTTTTGAAATCTTAAGAAACATAAAAAAGTTTTTGTTTTTTTTAATAACATAAATTTTTGGTTTGGTTTTCACATGTGTAAGGGAGTCACCGATACCTCTGCGAGACAGTCTGACGTCTGAATCTGTGTCCACAAACAGCTTCATGTGAAACATGTCGCGCACTTTCTGTGGGTAGAAAACGAGGATCCCCTCAAAGAGGACTACGTCCGCTGGGTAAACTGTGATCCTCTCTTCCTGCCTATAAACACAATAAATGAGGTGAGGACAGAGGACTTTATTTTTTTATAAAGAATATCAAGGCTTAGAACCACAAAGAGCTTCCTTCCTACCTGGAATGGGTGACAAAGTCATATGTTGGCACTTCGACTACCCTCCCCTCCACGATATCCTTCAACGTTTGGTACATTAACTCATTATCAAATGCCTCTGAAAGACATTAAACCGAAACACTGAAGGACTAGCCTTATGTGTCTAATTCACTGTATAAAACAGCAAAAACATGATTAAATCAATAAATATGTGAAGTACATAATACGAGGCATTTAAGGAGCATAATTTCACAGAGCCCATGTTCAGCATTCCCCACTAAACCCACACGTGTTAACACAAGTGTACTTAACTAAAGCACTGCTTCCAGCCCATATATTGTCACCTGCTCAGAAATAGCAATCCCAAACTCTAAATAAAATCTAAGCATTGCAATTCATCATGTCAGACTTTGAATTTTCTGTTTCTGTGGTTTTTTGCTCCTGATTGTGTTTTACTTTTTTTTTTCCCTCCACAGGACTTTTATATTTACTACAGATGTTAGATCATCCAGTAACAATATCTGGATGTCTTTTATAATTAACAACACCCTTAAAACAGCATAACAAAATATATATGCATGCTATTTTACAATACAGGTAGGTTTTTAACTCCCCTATACCTCTATTAGAGTGATCTTACAAATACACCGACTGGGTCTGTCGTGATCAGATTTGGCAGAGGGGAAAAAATCCTACTTGTAGCATGAGCCTACCTGGGTGATCGAAGTTGTACTGGCCTTTGATCGCTTTGGCTTTTTGATCTGGAGTCAGGACCCTGTAGAAGCAGTCCTGGCTTATAATTGCCACCTTCCTCTGGCGGTGGTCCACCTTGTTCTGACCCAGGAGCTCCATGATCTTTGCACAGACGGTCGACTGTAAATAAATAAATAAAAAGTCGACTTTTGTTGTCGGTAATGACTTTGATTGTATTAAAGCACAATATTAAATTCTGTTTTAGTTGATGTCCTGAGCAACAGTCTGAAGTGAAACGTTGTATCAGTGACCTCGGTATTTATTAGCTGACTCCAGGTCTTTAAAGAACAGACAGTTTCATTACAGCGGATAGTTAGCTGGACAAGTCTTGGGCGCCACCAGGTCACAAATATAGTATAAAATGAACACAGCAGACATGTAATTATGACCAACATACGCATTTCCCGGGTAAGTGAGTGTGACATTTGTTTTTGTCAGGTTGATAAACGCTAATATTGGCGCCAATAGCAGAGTACGCAAAGCTAGCCGGGATGCTAAATCACATACAAGCCCTAAACATGACGGACCTTGCCGCTGGCCGTTCCTCCGCTGACACCGATCAGGAAAGGCCGATGGCGGGGCCTGTCCGCCTCGTCCTGGGCTCCTGCAGTGTCCATTGCAGTCAATTCTATAGACTGCAAAATATAGCTAGCTTAGCTGAGAACTACTTGTCATATATGTTTACACGTTTACTGTACGCGACAATGCGAGATGTCGCGAGATTAGTCGTTCCCAACGGAACGCCCACAGGGTCATTTGGAGCGCAATAATGTTGTTGTTTTTTAAATAAATAACAACAACAACAAAAATAATAATAACTTCGATGTTTTCCTATACACACATTACATACAGTTCGAGATAGTTATTTTATTATTTAATTAAAAACTATTCTTGCTTCAACTACAGTTAGTTGTTGGATTTATACTTCCAGCACCTTCTTTTGAAAGCTTATCATGTACACTAAAATGATCAAAATGCACGATGAAAAAATAAAAGAAATTTCAAAAAATGGGATTTTATTAATAAATTAAATATAGCAATTTTACAGTATAAACATTACAGTACAAGCAGAGCGTTATCGTTTTTCTGGATCACTGCTAGACTCCTCTGTGTCTTCAGCACACTGTGGCTTGTCTTCTGTGGACTGATCGATCACTATCTCCAGAGCAGCACCTCCTTCAACCCTCTTCACTGTCTCTCCTTTGGCAGCGAGGATTTCCTCAATGTTTCTGAAGCAAAAGACCAACACTGAAAATTATACTGAAATATACTGCAGCAGCAGTCATTGGCTGAAACAGAGATATCAATTACCTACTGCGATTCAGACACGTCGCAGATAATATTTTATGATGTTGCTGTTATGTTAAACAACACGTAAGAGTCGGTATTAAAAGTAAAAAAATAAAAATAAAAATCAGACATTACTAATTACTGACTAATAAACTCGCCAGGTTAATCTAATAGTTTTACAATTATATTGGTGTTTATACATACCACTAAAGTAATATAAGGCGATACAGTCATGCAGTTAATGCTGATTCATGGTGCTTTTTCATGCAGACAAATGATTGTCAGGTACTGGCTCTATATACAGTAACTCCAAGGAATAGTAGATACTAGTAGATGGATGCTTCTCAAGTGGTTCCTAGCGGACGGATCCACACTGATTTGGCACAGATTTTGTGCTGGATGCCCTTCCCTCCACCAACAGAGCCACTCTGAGGCTCTGTTTGTCTGTCTTCCAGTATCTTATACATGTAAGGCAAATTATTTAACCACTACACAACAGAGCCACTCCAGGGAGAAAACTAAATCTTTTCGACTGATTTGTTTTTAATTATTATTTTACACTCACTTTGTATGGAATCTTATACATATTTGTCTGTACCAAAAAAAAAATCTTTACTGCACACAAGAAAATAACTTAATATTAAAAACGTTAAAATTACCCTACAGAGACTTTGTACTGTACACTGTTGGGCAAAAAACATCAAGAATTTCATTCATGTTTAAGGCTAAGTTAAATCATCCCCTCCTTCTTGCAACAGAGAAGACTGCTTCAAAATTATTCTGGGATGCTTAGCATTGTTTTATTATTAGATCAGACGCTCTAATCACATGAACCGCAAATACTGCCAGATTAAAGGACCCAATACACCCTCGGGATGTTGTTTTGAATCAGTGAGGAGTCCACGGCACTACCAACCTTTTCCCTTCCAAGTCGGTGAACCATTTGAGGTTATCGGCTATGATGTGGTGATTCTTGCATCCTGAACACGTGACTATGACGACACCTTTGTGGTAAGCCAGCTTAGAGATCTTCTGCATGGATCTGGTGGAGCAAACCTGCGAACAGGACACAGTCTGCGTGTCATATACATGACTTTAAAAGAAAAAGTAAACAAAAACTACCTCAACACAGTGTGCGTGCGCTACCTTGCACGTGTAAACGAGGTGATAGTGTGTTGACTGAATCTGTCCCAATGCCTCACTGCTGACATTCCGTGAAATTGAGAGTCCTCGGTAACTACCGAAACGAGGTGTGCACCTGTAAGCGGGTGACAGAAGACGAAAACCTATGTTGTCCTGTGAAGAGAGCAGCCCTGTCCCGGCTGCGGTTGGACAGTGAGCCACAGCACAGAGTCTGCGCAAAACTGAACGGTTACGGTGAGACCAAAGAGAGCGGCTGACCGCTCGCGCAGTGCTCGAAGAATAACTGAGTGTCAGACACTTCTGTAGAAACAACATTTTCACGGCTGTGTTCAAACGGTAAAAGTCCCTTTTCAGTCGCAGATGAAATTGCTAATGACTTATCAACGTGGATGTTGTCGCACTCTGATGACATCACGCACCTACATTTTCAAAATAAAACGAATTAAATGATTTATTTTTCCTACAAAGGCCAGCATATTTCTAAATGAAAGCCGTAACGTGAATTTCTTTTGGAGACATCTCAGTTATGTTTGAGATGTGTTTAGTGTGTTTCTTTGTTTTTTATTTACAATAATAAGCTGACAACAATGTTCACAACCTGGTCATCTACAGGTATTTTTGTGTAACTATTATGCTAATTCAGTTCAAGTTAACTCAGTTTTATTATTTATCAACAAATCACAACAGCGAGGCCCTTTTTACGTTAAGGACCGTGGGAAGGAAAAACTTCTCTTTAACACGGAAGAAACGTGTCTATTTTATTGTCTTACCAAAAACCCCATTACGGATAACTCCATATTTTTATAGTTTATCTTCTCTACCATTTACTTGAAGTTCTGTAAATCTTTAAGCAAAAAAATTCACATATCCCAAGAATTTCGATAATTGAATTTGAACCAAAATGTTAAACTAAAGATACAAGTGATCTATGGAATTATTTTTCTATCAATTTGAGAAAATCATTTCATTTCTGACTTTTGACAAAAAAATAACTCCACAGCTATCCAACATTGTGTTCTCTGATAAAATGAAGATTTAAATAGCCAATTCAGCAGCACAGACAAACAGTCCAATAGTAAACAAGTATGTAAACATAAACTGAACATTTTAGTTTTCCTATCTTTCTTTCTTTCATCATATCAATTTGTTGATAAATGCCTTTAATAGCTCTTCTTTCCTTTAACCAAGATACATCACATCCACCTTTAACATTTAAACACATGCATTTCCACGCTCATGTAGCATGTTGCAGTTTTTGCTTACAATGACCTTGACCTTTGACCACGGAATTATAATCACTCAATCCAGCAGTTGGTGTCCTACAGATATTGTGGTCATATTGTGAGACTAGGACATATGGACATCCACACCTCAACCTGCAAGGAGGAGACATAAAGAAGTATTTACTATAAACAAGATGTTAGTTTAAAATAATCAAATATTAAGATGCATATGCATTAAAAACATTGAACATTAAACAGCTGTAAATGAGTATCAGTATCAGTATCATCAAGCTTTATTTGTCACAAGCAGGTTGCCCTGCAGAAATGAGCTGTAAATATAAGTAACACTTCTGAAACACAATGAATTTGTGATATGGTCTATGTCCACACCTTACTTCCTGATAGACCTTCATCAGTCAGTATAAACAAATACTGATTCTTTTCCTGCTGTGTTAGTCCCGTGTTAGTATGCTTTACTGTAGCTGACGATTTCATGAGCACGATGCATTACTATATAATAAACATCTCAGATGTCTATTTATTCAAACTACCCCAAGCTGGACCACCTAGCAGGTTCAAATTCTGTTTGCATACACTGAAGGAAATTCTAACAAAGTTCAGCTTCTCTGGCTAAGGAGCTAAACCTGCCAAAAACCTACCGCAAAGCCCTCCACAGCAAAGGTTGTTTTTCATTTATGACAGAAAAAATAAAGTTTAAATTGCATTGAATATCTGAAGAGGTCAGGCATTTCTGTGGAGTCACTCACATGAGGGTCAATACAGTCTTGAATGTCTCAGATTCAGATTTTGCACCTCTGGGATGGCCATTGTTTCACAAATCCAGAATCATATATCATATTATTAGCATTAACTGAGTAGTTCACAGACACTTTTCATCACCTCATTGTTTCCCAAGGCTTTAGTGGGAATTGAAGCGGTAAGGACACAATGTATAACAAAACCTTTTACAATGTTCCAGTAGGTTGTGGCCAAGGCTGCTGCAGGCCTGTGGAGGTTAATTGAATGGCAATAAGCACAAATGACAAATGCACTGAGCTGTGTGGGTTAAGGAAAAGGTATGGATGTCTTAAAAGTGGAACTCTGTGGCACACTGTCTCTGTGATGGGTCCATGTGCAGTGTCTGGGTATTATAGTTCTTTGTTACTGTGACAGAGCAAGCACAGGGCTCACTTGTATGACTTGTGATACAGATGACCTAAATAAACACATTTCTAAACTAGAAGGTTTTAGTGCTGTGAAAATTTCTTATTTCATACTTGTCACATTTGTCACAAGCTAAGTTCAGTTTCACTAACTTCACCTAGGCCTGATTACTGCCAGACCTGTTGAATCAAAAAAATCACTTAATAGTAATTGTCTGACAAAGTGAAGTAGGCTAAATAATCTCAAAACCCAACACGTTATGCCACGTGTATTTATTAACATGTTATGGACTGTACTATATGATATTCTGCACAAATGATCATTACAGGGAGGATTCATACCTTATTCATAAGCCCTCACTTTAGGCAAACATGTATTATTCAGTGGGAACAGTTCCATCTAAAGTTTGATTTGAAGGCTTTTTGCATCTGTTCTGAAGTGAATATATAATGCTTGGAATGAGGTTGAGCACATTTCCGATAATATTTAGACTTGAGGTGCCCCAAAGTCAATCTGGGATGTGGATGAACAGACACAAGCAGCCCAGGCAGCTTAAAAATTGAAGAAATGTGACAAGTTCATCTAAAATTTTTGGAATGACCTACCTAAACTACCATAAATTTATGTGCAAGTGTACCAATGAAATTAGATGCTGTATGTGGGGTAGTTATTAAAAATTTATGTACAGTTCCACCGTGCAATCACTGCAGAGATTTGTGGAAGAGCCGAAAGAAGAAATTGCTGGTGAATGAAGATGAGTGTGATTTTTTATTGTTGTTGCTATTTTTAAACCCTTAAAGTTACTGTAAATGTAAAAATAAGAAAAAAAAAGAAAAAAAAGGGGGTTAGATCGCGTAAAGTATTGATTTGAATTTTTTCACTGTTTACATTTTTTTAACACATTTATAACTTATACAGTTGTGTTTTGTTTGTCAATTAGCAAAACCCTTCTCTTTTATAATTACAGGACATTCTGACCAATGAGCAATGTGTAATTTTACACATTTATTTCCTACAATTTACAAGCCCAAACAAATGGACTGACAGCGTTTTTTTTATGTACCAAAGGAGCCCTTCTTTATCATGTAGAAAAGAAAAGATGAATTGCACTTTTTATTATTATCTTAAGATATGTTAAGTGTGTAATTACAATTCTTTACACTTACAGAAATGCAGACTTTCACTGGCCCACTTAAGTTTAAAGAGGGCTGTAGTTCAGTTCAGTTCATTTCCGTTGTATTTAATTTTATTTCTATTCTATTCAATTCAATTCAATTTTTCAATTAAATTTGATTTATATAACCCCAAATCACAACATTTGTCTCACAGACTTTATACTGTAAGGTAAGTGTGGGAAGAAACCTTTTGACAGGAAGAAACCTCCAGCAGAAACAGTCTCAGAAGGGGCAGCCATCTGCCGCGACCGACTGGGAGTAGATAATTAACTAACCTATTTATCTAATTTAATAAAACTTAAAAAGGAAAGCTAAAAGAAAATAGGGGAAAACAGAAGTGAGAGAGACAGAGCGAGAGTGAGATGAGAGGGTTGTGCTTTTATTTTGAAAAACTGTATAATTTTGTACTTTCCCCCGTCCCTGCTCGGACAGAGCTCTTTGTGGGAGCCGACGGTCCCGCACCGCTCTAGCCTTCTTGCGGGTTTCTTCTACCGTAGCAGCATAACGGGGCTCCGGCCTGATGTCCGAGCTGCCTCAGCTTCTGAAGCCTGTTTGAGAAATGTTTCACCAGAGTGCGGAGGAGGCGAGAGACACCAGCTTTAGCAAAACAGGTGGGTCTTTTGTTATTTTTCAGGGTGTTTGGTATATAACCAGTTAGCTGCCGCAGACTGCTAACTGAGCACCGACATGAGACATCGTTTCCCGTCCCTGCTCTGCTGACTCTTGCTGTGGAGAGGACCACCTAACTAAAGGTCGCTCTGGGGGGGTTGGATTACATGTAATTTTATCCGACTGTGTTACCGCCTCGGATTGATTTTTTTTAAGCTAATGAAATATTCTCGGTCCTGTTTAAATGCATTTTTGTCCATAGCTAAAGGCCAGGCGAGGTGTTCTGGGATTTTTAGCGCAAACAGTTTTTTGCTGATAAAACACTGAAGCTATAAACAGCAGATTAAAACACGGAAGTTTTCCCATCAGCAGCCGCAAAGCATGTGCATGCAGTGGAAAACAGGAGAGCTCTGTTTTGTAACTCGATGTTTCTCGGATATTAAGTTCATAAGGAGCTGTTCTTCTTCTCATTTTTATTACTACAGAGTCACAAAATACATGTAAGAGCTCTTATGATTTTATCGCATTGCTGTAGTAATATTGCCATTGGCAGGCTAGGCACACAAATATGGTTAGAATGATTAATTTATAAGATCAGGATATGTCTTTATAAAGTAGTTTTAAACGGTTTATGTCTCAGACCTCTCATTACTGTGAACATGTGTGAGAGCATGACATCACTGGTGTACATTCTTTGTGAGTCAGCAGTTGTTAGACCTTGTCCTCTCCATCCCTTGATTTGATGCCCCAGGGCTGGGCAGATGGGCTGAGATCGGAAGCTGTGATAATTCTGCTTTGTACAAATGGGCTGTGAAGAACGATCTCAAGTTTTTGGCCTGAATTTCTTTTCTTTTCATTTTCTTTTCCGCGTTCTAGGCAACAGTTTTGTGGTCAAGGACCTCTTTATAAAGTGTGAGTGGATTGTGGCTTTAGAAAACACTGTCACTGCTGATATGTAGTGCTGATGTAGACTAGCAACTCAACTGCCCCATTACAGCCTTATGTAGACTTTTATCAGGATTTACTAAGTATTAGCTAAAATGGAAAAATAATAACGGGAAACTAATCAATGTCTTTGACTTGCTGGATCCAGATCACATAGTTATGTAGTTATTGCCACATAGTGCTGGGAAGTGCTGGAAAAATTGTTAAGTGCAGGGATCCTCCTTTGAAAAGCTAGAATCGGACCAAGGTAGGATTAGTCGGAGCAATCGTGGCTCAAGAGTTGGGAGTTCACCTCGGAAGGTTCGAGCCCCGACTTCGACAGTCTCGGTCATTGTGTCCTTGGGCAAGACGCTTCACCCGTTGCCTACTGGTTGTGGTCAGAGGGCCCGGTGGCGCCAGTGTCCGGCAGCCTCGCCTCTGTCAGTGCGCCCCAGGGCAGCTGTGGCTGCAATGTAGCTGCCATCACCAGTGTGTGAATGGGTGGATGACTGAGTGTGTAAAGCGCTTTGGGGTCCTTAAGGACTAGGAAAGCGCTATACAAATACAGGCCATTTACCATTTAGTCTTTTCATATATGATTTCTCACCTCATTATCTTCAAATGATACATTATTTGTACCACACAGTGTCAAAATATGGTGGAAAAAAGCTGATTTTTGTCGCTTAAAATTGATATTCAACTCCAGCACATTTGGAGCAACAAGCCTGGACTGGATGCTGTTGACACAACCCTGAGATCTGGGTGTAATACTTTCAACAACTGTGAACTGATGAAGGGATCCAAAACACGCTGTTCCTTAGTCATCTCTGCTGTATGGTACGTGATAACAGGGCGTAGAAGACGTTAGTAAAGTGATGCTCTCTGTTGCTTTGGAGGTCCTATAAATATTTGCGGCACTTAAATGGAAATTTGTGAAGTAGTTGCCAAGGGAATATTGAGAGATGTTTCAAACACAGAGGAGTTTATAGCGTGTATCAATCTAAGTGAATGTAATAAAACTTCCTGCCTGCAATAAGTGCTGGCAGCACTGGTATCTGTCCATCTTTCTGTCCACATGTGTACAGTTGCAAGAAATTAACCAGAATTAATTAGTTGTGATGTGGTCTTCTGCTAAGTTACGCTAATAGGCCGTCATAATCTTAACTGGAAAGACACAGTCATGAGTGAGATGTCATTACTGTGCAAGTGTTGTACCACACCTCATTTCTTTAGGGGTGGCTTCTAAGATCATTAGAAGCCACCCCTTCTAACAAAGGTATGTCTACCTTTGTTCTTCAACACTACCTGATATCTCACAGGTAGCTTTCTTGTAATTTCTATGGGTAGTCTTCAGGAATAGTTCTTCTGGAATTACATGCAAAGCTCTTCTAGGATGTTTGCTGGTATTGCATCGTGGATCAAAATCTAGGGGCACTTTTGTGCTTTCATAATTCCATTAGTTTTGATAAGATTCCCAACACCCCTTGTTGAAATGCAACCCCAAACCATGACTGAGCCTCCACCGTGTTTTGGCTGTACATACTCCCAGTTGTACCTCTCTCCTGACCTCCTCCTATGACACTTTGACCCCAAAGCTTCAAATTCATCACTCTATAAGACCAGCTGTCGCTGATTTTTAGCTGAGCTCATATCTACCTCAGCTTTTTCTCCCTGTTTCCCTTCCTTAAAAATGGCTTCTTTGCTGCATTTTTTTTTCATTTTCGTATACTGCAAAATTATTTTTATGCCTGAAACTTCTTCTTTTGTCCTCCGCTTGTGCAATTTCTTCATGCTGACGTATGCCAAGTTTTTAGCTAATGGCTATTTGGCAATCAACTTGGAGCAAAAATAGTAACGAACTGTCGAAAGATGCAATTTAAAATGAGTTTGTTGCTAAGTTGTCTGCTATGTGTAGACACAACACTCGTTCATCCCTTGAGTTAGGTGTCTTGTTTATGCTTGTCAGTGTTAAGTGAAATAAATAAACAAATAAATGAAAATAATTTCTCTAAAAATACTCAGATACTCAATCAATCAAAAAGCAGCCAGTTAGTTAAGAAAAAAGTTTTGAAAAACGTTCAGAAAGCCTGGAGAATTGTTGCTCATAACCACTTTAAACAGTTACAATAAAGTCTGGCTCCTTGGAAGCAACATTTAAAGAAATTCGTGGTGGCTTGAGACATGGGCTTATCTGTATTTTTTTTATATGTTTTGAATCAGTGTTCTGTTGTATGACCCAGCCTTTCAAAATCTTCTGCTCGTAGACTGCTGAATTAAACACAAAAATTAAATTCAGTGTTTTCGATTGGAAAGTCTTCTGAACTTGCAAAACAGCTCCAACCCATAATGCTACCTCCACCCTGCTTCAAGGTTTGGATTAACAGGCATTTCTAATCAAATATAATATTCTACAAAGACATCCTTCCAACATACTCCTCTCTGATGACTGTTGTATAGTTGTGGCAAACTTGTGATATGCTAGCTTTGCTGCATTATTTTTTAAGTTCTATTTGAAGGTTTTTGACAGCTCTCACTGTATTTGGCTTTGCATGTGCATTACCATCCCTTTTGGGTGATAGTAGTGTATTATATCCTTGCAAATGCCAGTAAAAAAAACCCAAGGAATTATTAAGGCATAAAGTATCTCATTTTTTAATTACTATTTGAATATTCAAAAATCATATCAGCTTTTAAATATCCAGCCTAGTTGAGTTGAGCTTTAAGCCTTAGTATAGAGTGCCCTTTTCCCTCAAAGTATGTTGTTTATCTTTGCCAACAAGTTCAACTTTGTCTCTTCTGTCTACTAAAAGTTTCTCCCAAAGGTGTCATGTGCACATTCAGTGGGGTTCAAATCACATTGGAGACATGCTGTCCATCGTTAACACCATCTTGTTCAGTGTTTTCTCATCATGGACACATAACAAAGATTATAGCACGTTTTTCTTTTTCCTTTTCTTTTTCTTTTGTTATCATTTTGGGGTTTTTCTCATCTCTTTCACGATTGCATGCTGTGCTCTGATCTTTGCACTACGCACACTTTTGTCCTACGCTGCCTGTATGTGTACATTGATGATGCCCTTAAGTCCTTAGAAAGTCCTTCAGTCCTTTATTTTTTTAAGGTCTTTGGAAAGTTGTTGGTATTAAAGTATGCCTACCACCAAAAATCTATCCTAAGGAGCAGTAGGGAGTGGCACCCATACGAACCTGCGACTTATTCCTGTGGGATTTTAAGTTTAAGCCCCACAGGAAGGTTTTTTTTTCCCCTCACTGGAGTTCATTTAGTTTTTGGAGATTAGCTGTCAGATATCACTTAAAGCTACTTGGGGTTGCTTGGGGTTATTTTAAAGGAAAGTCCATTATATACTGCAAAAGAGGCATGTCCATTTGTTTTTGTGACAAACCAAATGGACACTAGTGTCCTTGAGGGAAATTATTTCTGGCTCTGTAATACACTGCCTGTTTCGGTGGTCAGGTTCACCTGCACTTCGCCTGCACAAAGGCATCTCTGTTTGAGAAAGAAAATCAGGAGAAATGTACTGCGGTAACATAGCAAACAAGAAAGAACACAGTCACTATATTATCCTGTCTTGACCTTTTTTATTTTACACCAGGGATAGTGACAGGAAGTCCTTAGTTCCTCAGAGAAGTCCTTGGTTGAAATTATTAGAGGGATGATTTTGGAGAAGTGTAGTGTGGTTCAAGGTAAGCTGCTTGCAGACTGGTGTTTATTTTCCTGTGCCAGGATGAAGTGAAACAAACCTCGGATGTTCTTTTGAATTAAAGATATTAGTGGTACATTGTGACCTCACCGGATCATCCATTATTATTGTTAGGGTTATTTCAGAGCCTGGTGTGAAATTCTTGGAAGATCTTGGCAATTAGTTTATGTTACATGGAACTTGGAGTTTATATGAGCTTATTGTGGCAAACTTGTGATCTAAGCGACACACCAATGACTTCAAGACACGAAAGTGAAAATATGCAGCAGTTTCACTGTATTGCAAAACCAGAATTTCCATCTGTCACATTTTAAAGTTGAGCATGTCAAATGCTTTTGGGTTTGTTATGAATCTGTTGTGGTACAGGGAAGTGTACACTGCATTGGAGTCAAAGATAGCCTGTTGTGGAATAACACCATCTGACTGGTTACAGTTAAGGGTATTGTGGCAGCTGTTGGCGTCTCAGTCTGCTGTAATTTCTGTGTTAAAGCAAAGCAGAAGCCTAACGAAGGAGGCCAACAGCGACTCCGCTGCCATTCTGGTTTGAACTGGATAAAAAACAATGCGTTTTTGTGAGGACTTGCGCAGCTATCTTCTTTCATAAGGTAGGGGGTGGTTGAACAAACAGGGAGATGCAGTTTTTGTTGTTTTTGATTCTTCCTTACTGTTATAAGAAGAAAAATAAGTAGTACTATTACAGTTGATTTGTTTCTTCTTCTACTATCAGATTTGTGTCCACATGAAACTGTATTTCTGTGTAGGAGGTTATACTTGGGCTAATATGATCCTTTAAAACATCTTGAATTGTGAAAAAAAGCTGCTTTGACTGCTCTATTTTTTTATTGTTCAGTCTATTGTTATTTACTGTTTGAAAAAGATGCCTGATTGTGGTTTTTACACACATACTCAAGCCTCAGGAGTTTTTCACTTTGGGGGATTTGTGTTTTCGTGGGACCAGCAGCAGCTTTGTGTTCAGTAATGGGTTTAGCATCCATTTTCAAGTTGTTTTTCTTGATTTTAATTTAAGTATTCCTGCTTGTTTGGATTGTTCACTTTTTGGGGGAAAACAATCAGGAAATTTGTTGGTTTTGCAGGATTTTACATAGCTTCTTGGGAGAATACATTCCTTCGTGGCCCTTTCTGTAAGGAGTAACATGTTAAAACGTATTCATTCTGAGAAAGGGCTACGTAGCAGTACAGGTGGAGACACCGAGTCTGTATGAACATGCCTGCTTCGGGGTCTGTGCTGCTATTGCCTCTGCAATGTGCTGTATCCCATGCAAGATGCTCAGAGGATCTTTTGTTTAGTTGTAGGACAAATAGCTATCAGAACTATCGTGTTTTGTGTGTTTCTAGTCTGGTAACCTCCACTTCTTTGCTCATAGGTGCGTGTTGGGCTACATCAGGATAAAAGGCAAATTGTAAGTTAGTGCTATTTGTGTGTGTGGCATTTATTAATTTGCTGTCTGACTTTTTAAAATATTCACATCAATATTGACATAACATAAGAGCAAGAAGGCAAGACTAAAGCAAGCTTCCTTCCAATTGTGCAGTGTAAAATGAAAGGATTGTGTTTATCCTGCTATATGAAATGGTGATGCTATTATGGTATCCATTTAGTACTATTTTCAGTGCTGTGATATTCTCCAAGACACATTGTGGCAAATATGTTTGATTGCTGTTGGGAATATGGGTTTCCACTGTATAGATGGTTTAATAATTTGAATCATATTTCATGCAAAAAAACAAGACATCCAAACATTTGCTTCTCCAGTGCACCATCAGACTCTCTCTGGTTTATGTATTTGTAAATTGACTGTGTCATAGTTTTGGAGTGTAATTTGTAAATGTATTCTTTCAGGAAACCATAGTGGACATTCTTCACTATTTCATGGCATTTTAGAAATAATGAATGAGGAAATAATTAGAGGATTAATTCCTAATGAAAACAATGGTTGGCTTAATCCCAGAAACTGGCATAGAAGCTATCAAAGAAAAACAGCTATTCAACTGGATTTCATAAGGAAAAAGCTTAAAATATTCACAACCAGCTGCCACAGTCAGCTGCCAACAGGCAGGAATAATATTTTGAGTGTAATTTATACAAAGTTTTGCCCCACAGCATTAAGGTTTTCAAAACACAGTTTAACCTAACATGTCATGAACTAATCCTCTGTTGTCTCTGCTTTTTTAGATAAACCATCATGATTCCCGTCACAGAGCTCCGATACTTTGCTGACACCCAGCCAGCGTACCGCATCCTGAAGCCATGGTGGGACGTTTTCACAGACTACATCTCAATCGTCATGCTGATGATTGCGGTGTTCGGCGGGACACTGCAGGTCACACAGGACAAGATGATCTGCTTGCCTTGCAAGTGGGTCGTTAATGACTCGTGCGAAGTCATGCCCATGCCGAATCTGACCACCCACTACGCACCGGAACCCAAAGGCATTCAGTATGACCTTGACCGACATCAGTATAACTATGTAGACGCAGTCTGCTATGAGAAAAAACTACACTGGTTTGCCAAATATTTCCCCTATCTGGTGCTACTCCACACTCTAATCTTCCTGGCCTGCAGCAACTTCTGGTTTAAGTTCCCCCGCACGAGTTCTAAAGTGGAGCATTTTGTCTCCATCCTCCTCAAGTGCTTCGACTCCCCGTGGACAACGAGAGCTTTGTCTGAGACCGTGGTGGAGGAGAGCGACCCCAAGCCTGTGGGGAAAATGAACGGTTCAATGGACAAGAAGGCCTCAAACGTGAGCGAGGATGTTGAGGCCAGTGTGCCCATGCTCCAACGAACAAAGACCAGAATTGAACAAGGAATTGTTGATCGCTCTGAAACTGGAGTTTTAGATAAAAAGGAAGGGGAGCAGGCCAAGGCCCTTTTTGAAAAGGTTAAAAAGTTCAGAATACATGTAGAGGAGGGTGATATAGTGTACCGCCTTTACATACGTCAGACCATTATCAAGGTAATAAAGTTTATACTGATATTTGGCTACACAGCCCACTATGTAAAACACATCAGCTTCAATGTGCTGTGCACAGAGAATATTCAGAATCTAACCGGGTACAGCTCGTTCCATTGCGCCCATCCGTTAGCAACTCTTTTCAGGATTTTGGCCTGTTTCTACATCTCCCTGGTGGTAGTTTATGGACTCATCTGCATGTACACTCTTTGTTGGATGCTCAGCCGCTCCCTGAAACGATACTCCTTTGAAGCAATCCGTGAGGAAAGCAGTTACAGTGACATCCCAGATGTAAAGAACGACTTTGCCTTCATGCTGCACATGATAGATCAGTATGACCCTCTTTACTCCAAGCGCTTTGCTGTGTTTCTGTCAGAGGTGAGTGAAAACAAGCTGAGGCAACTCAACCTGAACAATGAGTGGACACTGGAGAAGCTACGGCAGCGTATCACCAAGAACTCCCAGGAGAAGCTGGAGCTGCACCTCTTCATGCTCAGCGGGATTCCAGACACGGTGTTTGATCTGATTGAACTAGAGGTGCTCAAGCTGGAACTTATTCCAGATGTTACTATCCCTCCAATCATCGCCCAGCTTTCCAACCTAAAAGAAATGTGGCTCTATCACACCCCGGCTAAAATTGAGGCTCCAGCTCTGGCCTTTCTAAGAGAGAATCTGAAGTCCCTCCACATTAAGTTCACTGATATCAAGGAGATCCCATTGTGGATCTACAGCCTGAAGAATCTCAGAGAGCTGCATTTAACCGGGAACCTGAGTGCTGAGAATAATCGTTACATTGTCATCGATGGGCTCCGAGAGCTCAAAAGTCTCAAAGTGCTACGGCTTAAGAGCAACCTCACTAAGCTTCCCCAGGTGGTAACGGATGTGGGTGTGCACCTTCAGAAGCTCTCCATCAACAATGAGGGCACCAAACTAATGGTGCTCAACAGCCTGAAGAAAATGGTCAACCTGACTGAGCTGGAGCTCATTCGTTGCGATCTCGAACGTATTCCGCACTCCATCTTTAGCTTGCACAACCTGCAGGAAATCGACCTGAAGGACAACAATCTGAAGACAATAGAGGAGATCATCAGCTTCCAGCACCTGCACCGCCTCGTGTGCCTGAAGCTGTGGTACAACCAGATTGCCTATATCCCCATTCAGATCGGAACACTCACCAACCTGGAAAGGCTCTATTTGAATAGGAACAAGATAGAGAGGATCCCCAGCCAGCTTTTCTTCTGCCGCAAGTTGCGCTTCTTAGACCTGAGCCACAACAATCTGACCAGCATCCACCCAGATGTGGGCTTCCTCCAGAACCTGCAGTATTTTGCAGTGACAGCAAACAGGGTGAGTAGCGAAGAATTTCTTAAATTATTCATTGTAAGGCAAGGCAAGTTTATTTGTATAGCACAATTCAACAACAAGGTGATTCAAAGTGTAGTAAAAGTTATCAAGTTCTCTCATTCTGCAGTCATGTTTCCACCCCTTTATCTTTCTCATAGATGTCAGTAAGGTTAGCTTAAAAACCCGATAAGTTGTTGACCAAGGTCAGCCATTATAAATATCTACATGTTCTTGGTGTAGAATTATGCCTTTGAAGATAACAGTAGGACTGTAGTGCTTCCCATACAAAGACTTTACTTAGGTGGACCACCCAGGTATATTGACAGCTGTCCAAGTCTTTGTCTAAGGGCGCTTTTATAGTTTGTTTACGCTGGTCTAAATTAGTTGATGAATTTGTAAACTTGTAGCTTTTTCCTGTGGTTTGGCTTCTTTTCACACACAAAAAAATCCAAGTGAACTCCAAGCGGACCAAAATGTGTCATTGCTATGTATTTATTACAAAGTGTATATGGTATTATTTGTATAATGTGTCGCTTTTCTCCACAAATCTAGCCTCCCTCACTGTGTTAAGGTGGCAGATTATCATAAACTTGGTTATTTTTCATTAACATGTTCAATCATGCTAAAAATTCACAGTTGGATTGAAGCCTGTGGTTTCTGATGAAGGAGATCATTTAAGCTTTAACTCAGTTATTTGCTTTGGGGCATTTCATTCACATTTGTTTACTGTGAGAATTTAAAGAAACACTTGGTGAATTCTCCTGATAATACTGTTTTGAACACTGAGAATGCATACAGCATCATGTGTTTTTCAGTAAAGGTTATTATTACTGCTGTTTTACTAGACTTTCTACTGCGCTTGCATGCTGAAAATAGCTTCCAGCAGGTTTGTGTGCGGCTACAAATAGCTCCATTAAATGGGGTCCTTTTGATGTTTTGGGCTCTCGGGGCCTCTTTTCCTTAAAATCCTCTTTAAACTTCCAGCACATTATCTATCCAAATAAAAAAAAAGGTTTTTAATGTTTAGAAGTTTTTAACAGAGTGTGACTGCATTGTTGTTTTCAAACAGAGGTTCATGGTACACAAAGTAAACTCAAGTCCTAAATTTGTTCAAACCTTTAAGTCTTTAGCAGACATGCACAAATTGTGAAATTCTTTGCCTGTATCACGTTCTGGTGGTTACATCGCAAACCCACTGTTATTTTATTGTTCTAAATATCACATTTGAGTCAGATTAAATTCCAGTTTTACGTAGTATTGGGTGTTTGCTCCATAGTGTAAATCGCTGGGTCAATTCAGAATGGAGACTAGCCTCTTTATGGGGTGGTGTCAGGAAGGGCATCCTGCGTAAAATTCGTAATCAGATGTAAAATTGTTCTGTCAACCCGTAGCTTTATTGTTGAGTGCAAAACCCATGGGACGTGGGAATGTTTTTTTTAGCTAAGCTTCGAAAGACCTGGTTGCATACATTGATTGGTCAAACACATGAATGTAGTATCAGGGTAAGATTTGAATAAAACATCAGCTGTCTAAACATCAGCTGTGCTCTGCTCGGTTGATCCTGAGTAATAGGAAAAATTTCTTTGTTAATAGCTAGCACTCCAGCTACCTAAACTAAGCTGGTTAAAAATGCACACAGTAGTTATATTTAGTAGAATTGTGTAATAAGGCTTTAACAAAAGTTTACAAGTAATCTAAAATGATGCCTAGATTCTGTTTACTGGTGTGATACTCAACTCTCAGAGCCGGCATCCAAGAACAGCTGAAATTAACCAAACCTGGCAAAACATTTGAACCAATCAAGTCACATTTAACTCAATGCTGTTTTGGAGGTGGCAGCAAGAGATTGCTTGTCTGTCGCCAATACAGATGCTTTATTTTATGGTTATCATAATTAAAATAACCCAGCTGTTTAAAAGTCTTTTATCTCGTTATTAACCGTCTTTAAGTTGCTATAGTAAATGTTGGATCTGCTCATAGCAGTCACCAAAGTCGATACTGGCCTGCACCGTGTTCACCCATATATAACTGCAGGCCTAGATTTAACCTAGTTTTGATTTTGTTCCTGTGATCCTGCCTGTTTGTCGTAGTTTTAATTGGTTAGCATCTGAAATTAATGTGATCTACAACTGAGCTGCTTATTATGTGAAACATGTTTTGCTTAGTAACTGCCTCAGCAGGCCAGGGTAACTGCAACCTCCTCCTTTCCTCTCCATTTCAGATTGAGACGTTGCCCCCAGAGCTGTTCCAGTGTAAGAAACTTCGTACTCTGAATCTGGGGAACAACTGCTTGCAGACTCTACCGTCACGTTTTGGGGAACTGACCGGGCTGACTCAGCTGGAGCTGCGAGGGAACCGTCTGGAGTGTCTTCCGGTGGAGCTCGGTGAGTGCCGACTGTTGAAGAAGAGCAGCCTGGTGGTGGAGGAGGACCTGTTCAACACGCTTCCCTCAGAAGTGAAAGAGCAGCTGTGGAGGGCCGATAAGGAACAAGCCTGAGCCGAACCACTGTGGACAGCTGCAGAGGAGAGAAGTTTGATCAGAGGAATGAAGAAGCAGTGAAATTTTGTGAAACTTTGAAGGAGATGCAGCAGTTCTGGCCCAACAGGCACAGGAAAGTGATGGCTTTTGGAATTGTCTCATGCCTGCCAGTGGAATAATCTCATAACCTAGCTTGGCGATGAAAGGTGGTTTGGTATTGTGGCCTTTCAGTGTTTCATCCAGGTGATGTTGAGTATGCATGCCACAATAGGAACTGTCCAAAGCAAACCCGTTTATTTAAACTTGCACGATTCAACCTTGCCAGTGATCTAAATGTGCTGATTATCACTACTTTACTATCAACAGGAAATATGCACAGAAGAGTGTTAGCCTGACGTTCTCTGGCCTCGAGACTGAAAATCACCTTTGAGTTTTATACGGTTATATCTGCAGATGAGGTGCAGCGTGCCTCACTGTGATAGCAGATGTAATCGAACAAATGACAGCGCAACTGATAGCCGATGTGTTGAGGCATGAAGCTTCGCCGTGTTGTTTTTCCTTCTGGCTTTCTTTATGCTCGACTTACTCTGAGGCATTTTTTTTACGTAGACAAAATGACTTGATGAAGATTAGCAAATCATCTCACGGGTGATCTCACAGCTTAGGCCTTAGCTCAGAAGATGAACTTCAAAGAAACAAAGCTGTCAAATATTCAGTGGAAACAAATGGGAACACACTCTACAGTTCAATGTCTAAATACCCTGCAGTTGTTAAACTATAACATCAGTCTGTGAGGCAGGCTGTTTGTTAACTGCATGGGAAGTTATGGTGGACAAATCCATCTTCTTTCTTTGAATCTTTCTGTTTCAACGAGCATTATACTTTTTTTTGAGTGTGTTACTTTATCAGATTTAATATGACACCTTGTAATGTGTTGGGAAAAGGCCAAGAATTTATTTTGGTGTACTTTTAAATTGTACCATACATTAGCATTATGTTTGGGCCTGTGAGAAGGGCTGTTTTATTGTGAATATTGGAATGCAATGTTATGCACAATAGACGTGTAGTTTTGGTTTTGCATTTATTTTAAAAAGAAATTGTCAAAGCTATACCCATATTATTGTTATTTTCTTTGCTATGTTGTAATTACATGTAATTATGTGAGGTTAGCTGTCCTTGCATTACAAGTCACAGCGGATTTCTTTTGGTTTTGTTTTGTTTTGGGTTTTTTAGGTAAAATATATGGAGCATAGATACTGCTAATCACACATCGAGTAGATAATACACTTAAAAAATGAACAAGAATGAAGGTACTTCTTTTCTTTATTCCTTTTTTTTAATGCGCCATATGATTTATGAAGCTTTAGTCAAGCTTTACATGTGTGGGACTCCCAAAGGAAATGAACTTCAGATGTGATAATGGAAAGTTTAGATACTTCCTGTTTGAGAAGAGTTGAGTCAAGCTTCAAAAGCAGACACTTATATGTAATCTGTTTATCTAAGTGACAGATGAGGACAAACAGGAAATGGAAGAGTGGAGAAACATTTAGATCAGACAACAGAAGGGAAACATTTGCAGAGAGAGGGAGAGAGAAAACGAACATGCAATATGTGATTCCCACCATCTATGGACCAAATTAATGTAACATGCGTGGTTTGCTTGAAACACTTTCCTTATTAAGGCCTTTGGATTTAATAGCATCATTTGGACTAATTCTGCCATGTTTACCCCAGCCAAGCATCTCTTGCAGCTAATATGGCCTTAGATTTTACAAGCTTTATACCCCAGGAATGATTGCAAACATCACAATCTTGGCTCGTTTTTTATTTCTTGTGCTGTAAAATGTATAGCTGAAATATTTAATGTGTTTGTTTCATGTGTACCGTATTCTTCCTACCTGCTGTTTTTCTCTTTTGATTCAAGCTTTTTAAAGGAAGGTTAACTCTAATGATACAATTATACCTTTGTTCACGGTATATTTTGTTTACTGAGGCCTTGACTGAATCCAAATGTCCTTGTAGGGGGAACTAGTAAAGCGCTCCCATGCAGTATTAAAAGGCACAAATAGGAGCTTTAGCTTTATGTGAGCTGACGAGCAACTAGTGCTAACATTGCAACAGAGATTGCAAATGGAAGCAAAAAGGCAATAATGCCAGAGAAACAGATTCATCCACAGGAAATCTCAGCTTTCCTGGAAAGGATTGAATGCTTAAATTGAATTGCTTGCATACTGCGGGATAAACGTGAGCAGTGCCAAGTATGCGGATAGGGACTGTTGGCCTGCCGGCCTGCCAATCAATCCGCAAAAATAGGCAAGCAAATAATATAGTAACATAGAAATGTGTATGATGTTGGGCTATAACTGGCAGTTTACTCTGAGTTAGCCCATCTAGTCTGATTATTGATTGTTATTATTTTTTAAAAACAATGTATCATGTTGTTCTTCATTGTTGCCAATACGTAGCGTTCCTGTTATTGCTAATTAAGGTTTTTATTCCAGGAAAGTGTCACTTTCAAAGCACTAATAACTGGCCTTAGTCAGCTTTAGGTTGTCTGTAAAGCTTTCTGTTTGCACACAGCACTTAAGCAGTGTACAGTGGTACTAATGGCAGACAGGGCACGGCTGATATTAATACCGATATTTGGTGACTTAAAAAGCCAATACTCCAATATTTTTCTTTTCTCTTTCAAACGCACTAAACATAAACAAATTCTCCTGATGTATTTTATGCGTCGTTATTTATTCACCTCCGCTCTGCTGGGATCAGGCGGCTGTTGTGTTTGCGTCGTTCCAAACACGCGTTGATGAAAGGGAAGTTGCAGACTGCCCTCCGGTGGACAATCTATGCAACATCAACACTCATGACATGGTTGAAGGATGTTTCTCCTGTCTCTTCTTTTTTTAAAGTTTTCATTTATCAGCAACACTGTTGTAAATGCCAATACCGATACATTGGCGATTAGCTAATATCGGGCAATAATATTGTTGTGTTTTAATGGCAGACTTTAGATTTACAAAGCCCTGGTTGCTTGATTTGATCCCAAGGATAACAACTGTACGCACATTTTTTGTTATAAAATTTTAGCCTTAACATGTGGGTCACATCATTAGTTCTGGGAGTTCAGACATATATAAAAACCTAAATTATTCCCTAGTAGAGCCTGTATAGTCAGTATAACTCGCGAAGATGGATGGTGCTCATTCACACTCTCTCACACTACTTTGTCAAAATTCTCATGAATATGTTTTTATCTGGGGGTTTGTTTGTTTTGCGTGCGTATGTTTGGACACATACGCACAAATATTATGGTGACGAGTTGCCTTGGTCATTTTTGTTCTGTCCTTCGAGCTGTGACTCGGCTCTACAGTCCTTCACCGTCATGTCCCTCTGAGTCATGCGTCTAATTTTCAGCCCACTCCCTTTTCTGTTAGTGAATCAGGTGAAGGTCCGAGGAAAAGGTCAGTCAGACATTCCCAGGAAACCAAAAGGAGGAAGTTTTGATGACTCATACGTGCTCCTTGGTTACAAGAAAACTCTAGCAGTTTCAGATATAGTCTCAGCTCATTTTCACCCAAACACATTAAGTCAGTGCGTATAAAAGCTTTTCTTGTTTTTGTTCTTCTTCTTTTTTGTTATTTTCCAGCTTTTCCCAATTCCTTTTGTGTGTTTCTAAATTATGTATCACTTAAGCAATGTTTGTGTGAAGCAGCGTGACTGGTCAGTTTATTCTTGCTCATAATCATCATTCATATTGCTGCTGGTTTCCCTTTGGACACTGCTGTTTTTGAATAAACAAAACAGGACTTCACAACTGAGCAGAAACGACTCTCGACAATCTTGACTTACTGTAAATGGAGGTGAGCTCACCCTCCAGTGTGGGCATTGTGTACATCAGTATATCATCTGTTAATATTTCCCAAGATTGTACATTTCCAGACAGTTTCATTTCCTTTTCATCGCCCTAGATTTTTCTTAAACTGCCGTGGTTGCATTATATTTCTGCCTGTGTATGGAACATAAATCATGATTGTATTTGCTCTGTACAATTCATCTCTGTATTCTGATGCCTGTGGATCAGGGAAAACGGTTCATTTCCATCCATTTCATTTGAAACCATGTGTGCGTTGATACTGGAAGGAATGCTTTTAAACCTAAGCAGCGATCACGTTAAATGTAAACTAAAAGTTGGATGGACGGACTTGTTTCACTCAGCACTGTCTGTATCACAAGGCCTTTTACTAATTGTTGCCAAGTGGACTGAACACTGGCTTTTTAAGTGGGACGTCTGTAACAATGGACAACTGAACTTTGCCTAATGTTCAGGCTCTCCTTTTGTACCATTACAATATATGAAAATAAAATAAAGTTAAAATTCAGTTTCTTGAGTGCGTCGATGATTGTTGGTCAAGTCCTGAGCGCTATGTTTGTTAGACCTTTGCTACTACTGACATCTGACTTGCCTTTCTCTTCCTCGGAAGTGGAACATCCAGAGTATGCAAAATCATTTTTAGCAGCACACTGTGCACCCACTGACTAAGAGAAGGACAATTTGTTGTCAGTGTTCGCCCTTT